TCTCTTTCTTGAAATAACATTTATAATTGCGAGGGAAATTGGTTTTAATCAAACGCTGAGTAATAACATGCTTGAAATCAGACGGAAAGGTAATGTATATTGGAGAAGTAGAAAGCTTAATCGTTGGCCCTGCTTGCAAAAATATTAAGATTGATTTTTCATTCATTTATTATTTAAATAATGCGATGAATATTTTTAAGATTGGCCTCAGAAAAGGTTTTTACATAAGACAGGCTTAAAAACGTATAATATCAGTTATACATAGGTTAAATATTGCTTTTATTATTTTTAGGAGAACCGTAAAAAAAAAGATTCCACAAATCATGATTGGAGTATTATTTATAGACTAAATATATTATTTAAATTTGTAAAATCTGTCTCACACGATCAGTAACTTATTAAAAGCTTAAATAATGCATCGTGTATGCTTACGAAGGCCATGCAAATAATTAGGGAAACAGGAAAATATTCCCCAAATTAAAATTATTTCCAAGAATACTTTTTATAAATGTTTCCTTTTAAATCTTTTTTATTTGTTCGTTAAAAAAAGCGTTGTATATGGTTACGAGTACCATATAAATAATTACTAACACGAGGAAATATTCCACAGATGATGATTGGTTTTATATTTCTTTTTAAAAGTATGATTTTTAGGACGGTTCAATTCGAATCTCTGCATTTAATTTATAAAATCAGCTTTTTCCCAGGCGGGGACAAAACCTCAACTGGCAAGAAATGCGTCTAAGAAAAGGTATTTCATTTTAATTGCTCCAAAGGTGGTTGCCATGGCCACGGATCCTTCCCGAAACTCCGCAAATGAGTTGGCAATTTAATGGGCTGGCCATGTGGATGGCACCGGGATGCCCGTGCAGCCGTAGTTTGTGTCCCGTGGCGTGCCAGTTGGTGGTACATTTTGACCCATGGTGCAGGCCAGGATCCAGGATCCAGGATGACAGTCAGCCATTGTGATGTCGGTTTTTGCATTGGTATGGGCCAGACCCACATCCCCACTCCCCCCTTCGACTAATGTCTGTTTGGTTTCTTGGCACGACATGCCTGGCGTCTTGTGATGAAAAACTTATCATAAAACTTTGGCAAAACTGCAAACTTGTCAAGGTTTTTGTCATTTGCCTGTCTCTCTATTCTCTGCGCTGCCTTTGAGCTTGTGGCTGGCTGAAATAATTATAAATAACTTAAAAGCAGGAAAGCGGCAAAGAGCCGGCAAAAACCAAAAAACCCAAAACCAATAAACAAATCCCATTCAGTATGTTGTTCGCTCCACAAAGTATGCTATGCCCAGGCAAAAAGCACGCGATTTCCGCATTTAATTGTTACGCTTTAATTGGCACTATAAACAGCTAATAAAATCGAAGGCACTCCACGTCAAATGGCCAATCGATAGCTGAAGAGCGGCCACTTGAAGCGAACAATAAAAATGCTCGAGCCAGGACATGAAAGTATCCGTATATATACATTGTCTGCCGAATGATTTGTTTGCCTTCGCCGGGACTGCTGCCATTGACAGACTGTCATAAATATGAAACACACAATATGGCAGGCCAAAAACTACAGAATCGTATATATATGTAGATGTATGTATGTAGTTGACATCCATGGTTCGAATCGTCGCCCATCGACATAACAAACTGTTCAGGTACACGAATCCGATACCCCAGGCCGTGTCCTTCGTCAAGGCAACGTTTGATGGAATGCCTGTCCACGGAATGTTTTTCCACCCATAACTTTGCCCCTCCACTCGAGCGTGAAAAATGTCTGACTGCAACTTGTTGTCGCCAAAAACTTAATTAATTAGATTTCATTGCACAATATATAGTCTGGCCATCAAGGATTTTTAATTAACGTCCGTTCCACTTTCGAATCATTTCAATACTAATTAAATTCATATTAGTATTGATAACGCTTGTTTGCCATTTATATTTATTATAAATTATTTTTTAATCAGGTTTCACTTATTTTCATTTATGGAATTCGTCGTCCGTTGTTAAAGTGTATTTGAAAAGTATAAAAATTACATTTTTATCCACTGATTTAATTGTAGTTAATTGCTTAAATGAGAGATTATCTTTTTATTTTTTAAACACATTTTTTTACTGATTGTTAAATAATGCTATTGCTTGCCGCATGTAAATCATACATCATCATTGATATTTAATACTTTAAATTGTTTATAAACGATTGTGATGTAATAATTTTATTAATCCCTATTAATTAAAATGAGTTTAAATTGTTTCTGTTTGTAACAACTTTTTCGTTTAAGAATTGAAGATTTACCAAGCAATAAAAAAGTACTAGCCTTATTTAAATGTAAATCCCCAGCAATTGTTTAGCGATTGGGGCATTTGGACCAGCTTTTTTATGTTAAGTACAAATTCAGGACACTCGGTGGCCATTTGTGGCCTATAAACTTTGGCAGTAAATTTTTACAACAATGAGACATGCATCCCGTGTCGAACACTTCGGCGGAAGGAACCCAAAGGTGCAAAACAAATCCAGCTAAATGCCATTCAAACTAAATCACTGGCAATCTGTTTTTGGACGGGCCAAGACAGTGGCCTAATTTATTTAAATAATTTAAAATTTCGGGCCGGGAAAATAAACAAAGGGAAATAATAATAGCAGCTGTGTCTAGTCAAGTCATTGGCTCAGAAGATAAGAGCAGGTCGCGGGGTCGGCAGACAAAGCGTTCTTGGCCAACAAAAGACCAAAAGTTAATGTGTGCCTAAGTAGCAGTCTGTCCGCTGTTGGCCCATTAAATCGCAGCCATTTTGGGCCATCCCCCCCCTCGAAACCTTCCACATCCGACAAGTGGCAAGTGGCAACGGGCCATCTCCCGTTTTGGCCAGGATTCGGGCCTTTGTGCGTTGATTACTTTGGGGAAATGTGCGTGAAAGGTAAACGCCGTGTACCTGTGCTGTCATTTTCTGTTTGCCGTCTGCCGCTTAACTTCAGTTGGCTGATTTATTTGCCCACCTTTCGGGGTATCCGTTCCGTATCCGCCGCCTCTGTGTTGTGATTTCCCCCAAACACAATGAACTTGGCTATGATTTTGCGTTGTTATTACATGTCCATAAATCATCGCATCCCTGCAATAATAAACGTAAATTATAATAAAGCCAAATATTTGCTTTCCATTCAGCTTTTGATAGGGGTTTCAGACCAAAAGCCTTTAAGAAATGTTTTAAGCTTTAAAACTCTTTAACTAGCTTATTCATAATGCATTGCTTTTAAAACAAACCGGATTAAGAGAAACTCACAGTTTAATTGCTAATGGAAGTCTGGTCGACTTTCATTTATAATTTAAATAAAGTGAAAAGTTCTTTGGTGTGCATTTTACAAGCATTGGAGTACTTTTCAATAATATTTTAATCGTCTTTAATGGCAGAATTTATTGGGTATATTAGCTGAGATAAATATCGGCTTGACTTATATTTATTAATTAAATAAAAATGATGTTCGGAAACTCATGCATCAAAAATACATACTTTTATTGCTTGCTGTCTCAACAACAATATTTTAAAAAGCAATTCACTGTCCCTTTTTTTATTTAAAATCACTGGCTCGTTTATATACAAATTAATTTCATTTACATTCAATAATGGTGGCTGTGGCTTTCGAACGATGCATCGCCACCATTCTGGCTATATAAATTTCCATTACGCATACGAACCGTGGACGCGGCCATAATGTCTCATTATGTTTGACTTGTCCTGGAAAACAATGAAATTAAGCTGGATGGACAGACCCTCGGTCGGGTACTTGAACGAAAAGCACAAAGCGTTGTGTGCGAATGTTCAAGTTTGGCCATTAAAAACGCATTAACATGGCACAATGGCTTGACAAATAACTCGAAATGCATTGGCTTTCCGCACGGGCGTTGCGCATACGCCGTGTGTTCATGACAGCGGAAGCGAGAGGCTCTTTATGCCGCTCAAATGCGTTTTATCAGTGCAATTACGCACACCCGGCTGCCAACGAAACAAAACACCCACTATCCATTGCCAGCAGACATCTTCATTAAGGTGACAGTCGTAGGTATTCTCTATCTTGTATATATATAGTGTACGATCCTCCGCTTGATTTATTACTCCTATATATATTCGGTTTCGCCTTCCCCTTGTTTGTCATGCGACAATACTCCGCTTATCCTCGCAGCAGGCAGCCAGTGGAATCCAAGCCCCTGTTTGCTCCCTACAAATTACTTTAATACTTTGCGCCTGATGTTATGCGAAGTGTTTTACAGCACACACACACATAAGCCCACTCGCTCCGGGACGACACATTTCGTGGAACTTTTTCTTTCAATCATAAAATCAGAACTTTCCACCCTTTATGGCATAATCAGTGCGCGTATGCGAAAACACACACGAGGGATGCGAAAAGGTGGCAAAAATGGGGCACAGTGTGGCGCCTCTGGCTGCAATTGTCTTGTCTTTTATAGTTCCGCCAGTTGCCAGCACTCACTAGAGATGCCAAAGTAACACAGAAAAGTACTCTCAAGATACGGGAAGCTCAGTAAAAAAGTTTACATTTCTGCATAAAATCGATTATGGATACATGGTTTTATAGACTTGTCAGTTTATATAGATTTTGTGGGTTTTTATCTATTTTTTAGAGCTTATGTAGTTTTAAAAATACTACAAATATTGTAAAAGTATAATATTTGTATTTGGAATTTGTGGGCTTTTACACGTTTTACTTTTAAAAATAAAAAAGGAATGTAAAAGTATAATATTATCTGGCTTAAACATAAATATGTGCCTTTGGCCATTGTCTTTTAACCTATTCAGCTATTTAGCTCATCTCACTTACTACTGAACTTTCTGGCCATGCCATGTCTAAGAGCACTGCGTTTGTAGGTCTTACGATCGCCCTAAGGGCAAACCCAACTGCCATTTAATTTGCCACTTAAGCCCGGGGCTGGGACTGATTTTTATTATAAAAGGGTTCCAGATCCCGTGACCTCGTAAAGCGACTGAATCTTAGGGCATTAAATGGTATATAGTTTTATTGCTAATTCAATGCTAACCGAAGATATTGTCATAGATTTTGTGCCAGATACTGCTGCGCTGGAACATTTCTTTTTCGTTGGCCTCCTGCACGTACAGTTGGTACCGCTTGAGGGTCTGTGGGTCGGCGGGTCCCCAGTTGGGCAGTGGCTCAAAGGCTTTCCGGATGCGGGCCCAGAGACCCAAGTGCGCGGGTTGCTCTTGCACGGCGGGAATGGCCCAGAAGAGCACCTGGCCCACGCCGAAGGCACTCAGGCACCAACCGAACACTGCCGGAAAAAAGGGGGAGATTCTATTAACCAGGATATCCGGGTCATGGGGTTAATCCCTTTCAGCTTACCGTATACACCCGTCTGGTAGGTGTAGTCCTTGTACTTGAGGGGCTCGTACAGCACCAAAGTGTAGATGAGAATTGTGAGCATCATCAGCGGCGTGATGACCGCCCAGCAGATGCGGTAATACAGCGAAGTCTTGATCCCAATCATGAACTCCACGTCCCGGCAGAGCCTCTTCACCCCGTAAATCCAGGCGATGGTCACCAGCTCGAAGATGGCCAAAACCAGGGCCACAAAGGTGGCCCCAAAGAAGTCCAGCAGGTTGAGCACGAACTGTCCACCGGGAGTGATGTACAGTAGTCCTAGGAGATACCCCACAATGGCTATGCCCACCACTATCGTCCAGTTGCGGAGGTGCCCGAACTGATCCTTGATCACGGTGGACAGGCAGGAGGCCATGCCCACATTGCTGCCAATGCCCAGGACGAAGAGCATGAGGAAGAAGAGCACGGAGAAGAGCTGCGGCAGGAACTTGAACTTGGCAATGGCATCCGGATACGAGATGAAGGCCAATCCCGGCCCGCCATTCACCACACTGGCTATGTCACTGGTGTTGTTCTCATGCGCCAGGTTGCCCAGAATCCCGAAGATAATCACACCGGATAGGAGGGAAGTGAAGGTGTCCAGTGTGGTCACTATGTTGGCATCCCTACAAAGCAGGAACTCAAGTAAATAGGCCAAACCCCAAGACGTCTCCACTCACCTGTAAATGTTGTGACCAAAGCGATTGTAGGAGGCGTACATGATGATGTTCCCGAAGCAGATGGCCAGCGAGAAGAACACCTGGGTGACGGCGGCGTACCAGACTTGCGGCTCCAGGAGCTTGTGCCACTGGGGGCGCAGGAAGTAGAGGACTCCGTCGAAGGCGCCGGGCAAACTGAGTGCCCTCACCAGCAGGACGAACATCACGGCGTACGGGAAGAGGGCCAGGAAGTAGGAGGCCTTGCCGGAACTCTTCACCCCCTTGAACATGATTCCCGCTATGATGACCCACGCCACGGCCAGTGCCAAGGCGAGACTCCAGCTGGGATACCCGATGCCGTCATCGATGCTGGCCTTCTCCCGCAGAATGATGTTCCTGTGGGGAAGGGAAATAAGGATACATGAACACCACATCCTGGACACCTGCTGGCCATCCACTCACGTGAAGTAGAACTCCGCCGAGGTGGTGCGCACTCCCGAGTTGACCAGACTGCTGTTGGCTGGACTGGTTTCCTGCGAAGCCGAGTCCAGGCACTCAGGTCCCCACTCCGCACGGCAGTAGCTCCACGGCAACGTCGGGTAGAAGGAGTCCACGAAGTAGCGCAGGGTTAGGGCCATTAACGTGGCGTAGTAGGTGGTCACGATGCCCGTGGCCAACACCTGGCCATAGCCAATGCCTGGGTTGAGAGGAGATAGGGGTTATCCCTTGATTTATCACACATTTTCAAAATTCACACCTTGAATTCGGTGTACCTTTGAGTGCCTTTCGGTTGCGGGGATTACTTAAGGTACACCCAAAAATCAATGGTCGAAATGGTCCTCAAATTTAGAAAATATTACCCAAGAAATTTATATATCATATTTTCTCATTTTACTATTTTGTATGCCATTTAGTTTTTTGGTGCTTAATGTTGAAAAGCAGTTAAGCTAACTTTCCTTAATTTATAAAAAAAATTGTAAATAGAACTTTCGTATGTAAAATATAGTTTTCAAAACTACAAAATAATTTTACTAACATCACAGTAGCTTAAAATTTGATACAAATTGTATTTAAAGAAAAGTTTGATTTGGGGTATGCAATTTACACCCCAGATCAAACTATTCTTTTTGAAGAAAAGAAATTTAAAGAAATGTTAAAGTTATGAGAGCATTTACATAAATGGACATAAAAATAATTACAGTACAAATGAACAATTTGCACATTTTTAAGTTCGTAACTTGGCTGAGAAATATTGTTTTGAAAGAATTTTTAGCTGTTGATAAATAGGTATTTGAATTTTCATTGCCCTTTGGTTTTATTTCTTATTAATAAAACCCAAGTTTGTTTTCCCACTTGATGCAGTTAAAATCTCTAAGTCCCCTAATTCTAATTACCCACTCACCTCTCATGATGGGCGAGAAGTCGTAGACCTTCACACTGCCGCGACTGGAGAACTGGCCGAGCAGCATTTCCAAGTAGTACACGGGTTTGCCCACCAGGACCAGGACGATTAGGTAGGGTATGACGAAGGCTCCTCCACCATTCTCCAAGGCGGTGAAGGGAAATCTCCAGACGTTGCCGAGACCCACACTCAATGCGATGCAGGACATGAGGAATTCGATGTCATTGTTCCAGCTGGCTCGCTGTTTTCCCTGCTGACCCGTCTCCACTCCCGGTTGGTCATCTCCAGGATCTCCCGATCCTGCAGTTTCAATCGGATTTGTTTTTTTCCCATTCACTGGATCATTCGGCTTGTATGCCCCTGGTATCGATATGGTTGAGGCATTCAGTGAGCCCACAAACGCCTGATTCATGTACCCATTGTTATTATTGTTGTTATTGCCTGTGGTTTCCATGTTGCAGCTGCAAATCAATCAGAAATGTGGTTACGCCAACCTTCAACTTAACTCGCTGCAACTTAAGGTTACACATCCAATAGTGGTCAAGTTGCGAGGCTCCAATTATGGCCATTGATGGAGAGCAATCACGATCAGTGGGGCAGTAATAACAAAGCCAAGCTGCCAAGTCACTGACCCACTGACTTAGACGATTAAGACGATTACATAACAATGGAGAGGTGGCGTTGCCGCCTTGATGCAGCCAAAACTGCATCAAACTGGTAAATGCAGCCGGGCCAAAAACGCTTGGCAATTTTGCTGCCAAAACCAGTTTCCTGGCCTTTTCAGGGAAAGGTCTCCAAGCGTCTGGCTTTTTGCCGCAGGCATTGCTGCCATTTGGGCCCCATTCATAACAACACCTCGGGTTTCTCATCCGATCATTTGTTTCCGATGCGAAACGGTAAACTTTCCTGATATCTCGAATTTCAGATTGATTTATTGGCCCCTCTGGAGGCTGGCAAACAAATAACCCTTCAAACTGTCTCGAAATTTTGCTTAACTTTCTCATAAACATTATCCAAATTGCCTTGCAACTATAAATAGCATTTCTATAAAAGGCAGTTGTCGTTTTCACTGTTTTTGGAAGTGCAATATTGAAAGTGCAAATAATTAACGCTTTCGATGCTCTATTCACTTCCTGATTGAAAACCAGTCGAAAAACCAAGACATTGGCCTTGTTATCGTAGACACACTAAACTAAACAGGTTAACAAGCTGTTTTATTTTGCTTTCATTAGCGATTGATATGGATATTCTATGCGTCACGGGAATATATAAATGCGAAGTTAAGGAGGATTTGTGTTATTGGAAATAATAATGACTCAGATCCGTTCTGTGGAACACAAAAAAAACACAAGCCATCCGGAATTCCCCAAGATCTTGTCTGAGATCAACATTTTTTAGGAACACACCTTCTCTCTAGGTAGAGTATCGCCAAGTCCACAATCGAATCTTTTAAGTAAACTCTTAAGTTTGTTTACTTTTTGGATGCCTCTAGATCGTGACAGTCTGTCTTTTGAGTTGCGCATGAGCAGCTGCCTTGCCGATTGTTCTCGTGGCAAAAATGGAAAGTAAAGGCACACAATGCAACTTGCAACCTGGCATGACGCAAAAATGTCAGAGTTGCAATTACCCGAAAATATGGCCTAAACAAAACAAAACCTCCTCGTTTTCGGTGGACTGTATTGGTGGTGTTTTGGTGGCGCTATAAAGCCAGACATCGCCACACGTTCTAAATGAGTTTTTATTATTTTATATTGGCAAGAGTCAATTATTTAATTGCACCCGAGGCGCTTGTTTTCCGCTGAAAGCTCTTTGTCTAAACGCTTTGACTGTTCCGTTTAGGTTTTAATTTATTGCATAAAAAAGTGTGACTGTCTGATACAATTTGAAAGTGTAATTAAGTTATGGCACTCAGATTCTCTCTCGCAAAAGTATCTTTTTGACTCACTTATCTGGCAGACGGAATTCACATAGTTTGCAGACATGCGATTCGAGAATCTTTACGGTGTCAATAAAGATATCGTGAATGAAAGGGTTTCGCAACGAACAGAAATGACCGCGTAAATTGAGAAAATCTACACCTGCACTTGGTTTTTATTCTAACAGGTAGCATTAAAAAAGTTTTTGGGTAAATTAAAACTATAATTAGGCCACCAAATTTATTGACGTAAAGTATATGACACGATCATATATTTTATGATTTGTAGGTGAAACACGCGACTTGACACATTTATGATAGTTTTTTGTTTATCTTTGATATCTCAAGTTGACAACCAAAAAATTGGGGTCGGGAAACATATTTTATTACTTTCACTCCACTTTGTGCCGGTTTTGTATCTTTTGTTTAGGTATGTGTTCTCAGGTCTTCTGCAAGTTTTAGCATCTTCGGTTTTAATTCCCTTTGAAGAATGGCTTTCGCGGTTTCTATTTTATTTTTATTTATTAAAATTTAATTTTTCTATCTATTTTGCAGTCACTTGATGTTGGTAAACAATTGAATTCCGCTGAAGTATTCAAGCGATCCGCTCACCGCGAACGCCAAAAGCTCACTGAGCAGCTCTTTTTGCCCAGCGGCGTCTCTGGGTTCGAATTCGGAATAAAAACAAAGAAAGAAATAACTCGAAAACGACAACAAACTACGAAAAACAAAAAACAAAAAACGAGTCAAGAGGTGTTTTGGGGAGCTAGCCATTAGACTTGACATAAGCCAAGGTAAGTGAAAATATGAAAATTAAGTTATTATCGGTTCGTCAGCGTGTCGCACTTTTGTATGTTTACGTATTTGGTTGGTAACCCCTGCGAACGTGCTTTAGAGTTTTTGTTTTGTTTTAGTAAGTGACATAAGCAATGTTAGTTTGGCTATTATTTTTAAGGAAAATATTATGAAGACGGCTTATAATTTCATATAATTATATAATTTCACCCTCAGAATTATAATATCTTTCATAACAATTTTAGCCATTGTTAACTAAAAATTACTTTGTGAAACATTGGTTATTTCTAAAATTAGTTATGTTATTTTCAATTGGTGTCAAAGACCTTTTTTCCTAAATTATTGTTTTCTTCTTTTAAGTTATTCGTAAAACTTATCAGTTATATTTCTAAGATGCATTTTGATCCTGATCATTGAAAATCATTGTCTGTTTTGTGCATAATTATCCATTGTCTTGTACTGTAAAATCATGAATGAAAAAGATTAAGCTTTTTAATAAGTAATAGTAATCATCCGTTAAAAAAATTTTTTTTTAAATTCTTACCAAAAGTAATACTGAAGTTCCATATTTCATCCATTTCATTATTTGATTTTCATCATAACTTGATTAGATTTTTTATCTTTGCGTTACAGAAAACTAACCGTAGTAAACGTTCTGATACCAATTGCTCTATGTTATTTGTTTTTGATTAAAATGTAATCGATTTTCCTCAGAATCGAATTCTATTTTAAGCTGCAACGCAATAATAAAGGTTTATGATATTTTTTTTAGAGAGAGATTATCAAAATTTAAAGCCTTGTCTGCAGATTGCAAACTTTCTGAGAAATTCATGTTCTAAGAATTTTGTAGGATTTCCGGAATTGATTATTCTAAGTACACAAAACAAAAACGGTATGAAAAGAACCAAGTTTGATAAGAAACCAATATAAATTTATTATTACTAACTACCTAATTGCAGTTTTTGGTTGGCGGCATCCAAAGCGAACGCCACACTGCATTTTGGTCATGAAAGTAAAAGCTCGTGTGTTGGAGCAAACATTTTAATTGGATGCAAATTTTCGACACTTGGCTGCTGTGGTTCGTTTACCGACTGCGGCTCAATTTTAGAGGAAAAGCGGTAGGTGTGGAAAAACATGGAAAAAGATGGGAAGTGGTGGCAAACAATTTTCGGTTTTTACTGGCATTAACACGCAAAATTGACCGCAACAAATTTACAGCATTTCCATGCGAGCAACTTTGGTGCGTGGGCGTATTGATCCCAACAATTCAATTAAAATCTCAACGATGCTGGCCAAGTGCTCTAAATCGCATTCCATCCCAATTGAATTACAGTAATGACATTTATTTTTACTTTTCAATTAAGCGCTATGGGATAGGAGATAGGCGAAAAGTCCCCAATCGCCGGCAAAAATGAAATCCTTTTGCCATTTAAAATGTAATTAATTTTTAATGCACACACATGCAGTGACGTTGACGGGTTTAATCTGTCTGTTTATGGATGAATTTTCCTCCGATTATCTGCCTGCATGTGTTTCTGTGGCTTATTTATTGGCCATTCGGTAATTGTTTGGATAAAAGACTTAGCAGCATTGTTGCGTAATGCTGAATATTCAGTTAATTCGATTAATAAAAGCTAATGAGTTCTGTAAGTGTATGCCTGCAGCTGATTGTCATTTTAATTGTTGCTCTTTTTGTGATTTATTTGTTTGGCAGGAAACAAGTTGGTTAGATCTTTCCTTCTATTTCGTTTATGTATTTAATTCTATGGCTGTTTTTTTGCTCTCTTGTTTCTTATTTAATTAGCTATTCCAGTTGGTCACTCCATTTAATTTTGGTCTGTTTGCCGGTTTGAATTCAACAGCAATTACAATTACAGGAATTATCTTGAATTTCACTAATTTGCTGGACTAATTTGGCATTTTAATGAGCCACGGAGCCGCAGAGAAGATGACAGTGCAGCAGCGAACTGTGAATTTATGGCCAACGAGCATTTCGGATTCGTTTTCGTGTTGACAAAAGGCCAAAACCAAAACCCTCTTACTAATTTTCCCAGTCATTTATCAAGCGTTAGCAGGGCATAAATCTCGTCTAAGCAAATAGCAGTGACAAGCCAACCAACGTAGTCTTGGCCAAAAGTCAAATCCAGGCCGTGGCCATAATGCTCCGCGTCACGCAATTGTCTTTTTGGTAGTGGAAAAGCGGGAATCGGGAGGAGTTGGCATTACATTTTACTGCCTTCGACTGGTGGACATTAAAAACAAAGGACAACAAATGTCGCGCAGACAATGAGGCAGGTAAACGTGGCCCGTTACAAGTTGGCAGTTGTTTTTAGCGGCATAAGGCATGTGGCACGTGGCAGGTTGGCAGCCAGGTTGATTTATGCAGTCGAGTGAGATGAAATATTGATGATTTAAATCCAACAGTCTGAAATGCCTCCTTGGGGCGCCGTTTTGCGGGTGTGAACGCACACAAGTGTGATTCCTGTGCGAACTCGATTTCATTTTGATCGCCATCCTGTGTGTTTACTTAATTAAAATTCCTGAAACTACCGCACTGAACTGGCCTTTTAATTGAATTTAAGCTGCAACTTTTGCATCGAGATGTGTTGGCACTTGCCGAATTAGTTGTATGAGATGTGGGTTAGCAATTAGCCGGATTACCTGGCCCAGCAGAGTAATTGGAATGAAATGCAATTTGGTTGCTATCTGTATGTGGGATCTGAGATCCGGGAATGCCGCAATTTGTTGGCACAGCCACAGTCGAGTATCTCTGGAGCAAAAAGGTTTTTCGAGTTGGCTGCATTCCAGCTAGGAAGTAAGAAAATAGCTCGTTATCTTGATGCTGCCGCATGGAGTGCCGTGCCACAAGTGTCAGCCACTCCAATGTAGCATACTTTCGGGCGGCGCCATTTGAATGGAAACCACATTAATCATACGCCCTGCGTGCTCGTGCCCTTTAAAAACGAAAAACTAATTGAGCTGTGGTCGCTGCATTTCTACATTTCTGCATTGCTGTTCTTTCTCGTGGTTCCTTATTTTCCATCGTCTCCTTGGCATATCACGCATACGCCACATTGTCCACATATCAGTTTTGCAGTATATTAAGTCATTCCCGTTGGCTGGTGTTTGACATCCACTGAGTGTGCATGTGTGTTTATGTATTTACATGTCTAAAAGCTTGTTAAAGTCACGTTTCTGGCAAATTCTATTATATTGTAAAGCATTTTTCCCTATTTTGCGGCAAGTGCCAAGCGGCAGCTGGCATCTGGCAGTCCGCTGCATGCCATAAAAATGTCTACGGCACACGCAACTTGACTCCGGTTGTAAGTTGGGGTCCCATCGCTCCGGCCAGAGCGCATTTCGTGCGTATGGAAAAAGAACGGGGCAACAAAAATCTGCAATTCATGCAATTTTCATGGAAAATTTGCCACGCCAAGAGAACAGAGAACCGAAAGCCAAGCAAGGACAACACACATCTGTGTACATATTCATGTGTATTAGGATCTGTGCTTTGAATGTCAAAATATTTGTGTGTTTGGCATTTCAAGCGTTAAATTTGTGCTGTCAACGCTCGTCCCGTCCCGGAAAAAACTCTCCATCTCGGTGTATTGTCTGAAAAGCAGAGATATTTTTGAGGTTTTCCTCACTCTATGTTTTTCCGTTTTGGGGCAAATTCACCGACGGAATCCAAATTAATTTGCCTAGCACGTGGGCCTCAGTGATTATGTCTGACTGGCTGCGTGTGTGTGTTTTTGTTTGAATTTGTCTTAAGTGCTAAAGTCCTTGGCTTGATACTTGGGAGATTACGGCTTACGTGAGGCATCGCCCAAAATGGGGAGTTCCACACGCCCTATTCCACTGGGACACTTTATATGGCATTTAAGAAATACTCCTAATAAATTGCAGCAATTATTTTTCAGCCGCTTAATGGATTGGCCTGGGACTTCATAAATGTGCAGTATTATGCATTAGTCAAAGAAAACTATATGATGAAAAGCAATGAAAGCAAATGACAGTTTAGGTTTAAGTCTTGAATAAAGTATAAGGTAGCTCTAAAGTGCTTTTACTTAAGGCATTGTGAAGGCTATTATATAAAATGCAATGGGTATTTTAGTGACTGCAAATATTTCTGACTTGCTTGTTTAAAAAACCCCAAAAAATCAAGCAACAAATTTGACTGTTAATGAATATAAGCCACGAACAAAACAATCAAATATACTGCATAAAATATGTGTTATTGACTGGGATAATTTATTTAGCTGAGAGAAGAACGGCAGCCTACAAATTTACTTATAATCCGGATAATGGAATCACTAACGAACTTCAGCTTCCTCCCCTTTTGATCGAATATACCATTTGTATAGGTTTGGATCCTATATCTTTGTATCTTACTTCCATTGATTCTGTAGAGTCATTAATCATTTGTTGCTTTGTGGTTTTTGATCAGTTGGCTTAGATTTGGGGCGCTGTTTATTGCCGGAATCCTTCGAATCCGATTCGCAAGGTGGGCTGGTACTACTGTCTTCGTTCGGATCCTTGCACTCGGTAGCCGGCTCATCGGGAATAGTCCTTTTCACGGTCTTTCCATCCTTCGTTATCAGCAGGATTTTCATTGTACGATTTTGTATATTTATCCAATTTTTGTTGTTTTTAAACTTAAAGCATTTGAAACATATTCGTCTAACAAAGGCCTACCAAGATAAGAGAGTTTTGGTGCGTGGAATCCCATAGACTTCCGTTAATCTTAATGCTTTAAGCTTTTCCAGTTTTTCCATTGGCTTTGAGTTTTCCGCCGAAAGTAGGCAATGAAAACAGAGAAGATAAATGAAGACCAAGGCAGCCGGCAAACAAGCCCGCCCACTTTATCCTTCGTCCTTCCGCTCTGCGGCAGATTTGTGGTCGGAGTTGAGTCTAAAAATATGCCGTTTGCCACGCCCCCTTGCCGCCTTCCGCCTTTCGCCCACACGTGATGTTTCCGGGAAGCGTTGTCGGCTTGTTT